AGCAACATTAGCGATAAACTGTTTAAAATTAACTCCATTACAAAAACTAGAGGCCACCACCTAAAATTGGTGGAAAAAAAATTCCAGCACAAGGGGCGAAGGGGGTTCTTCACAGTAAGATCAGTTAGGGTCTGGAACTCACTGCCACAGGCGGTGATTTCAGCAAATAATGTGGAATTGTTCAATAAACTTTTGGACGATTTCTTAAGGGACCGTAATATACAGGGGTACAGGTACTCCTAGAATGAGATCCTAATAGGTTGGACTTGATGGACTAATGTCTTTATTCAACCTCAAATACTATGTAACTATGTAACATCTGCAGAGCCTAGCTCTTAGCAACTTGGGGTGCTCTGGCCAGCATCCTGCCCAGCTCCTGGTAAACAGTGATGTCACTGGTTGCCAGGAGCTGGGAGGGATGCCAGGCACCCCAGGTTGCCATGAGCTGGGTGGAGGGATGTGTATGGCCCTTACACAGCCCCCTACCTGGCTTTTAGCAACCTGGGATACTCTGGCTGGAAAGCGGGTGGCAGGCATACTGCAAACATTCAACAATGTTTAAAGCAAACATGAGATGCTGCCAGAGGCAATTGCCTCATTAAAACTGGAAAAAATATAATGGCGGACCTGTTCGTGACAGATAGGATGTAACAGACATCCTACTACCCATAGATCTAACATGGGCCAAAACAGCTCAGTTTTTGGGGTTAAAAACTGAACGGACACGGATGTGTCCCCTGCCGATTGGAATGGATGGCGCCCATATGAAATGGGGCTTTACGCCAGCTCCGCTCCTAGAAGTATCTTTCCTGTCCACTGACTGCTGCTTCCTTCCATCTTTCATTGTACACATCAGCAGACCCATAAAACTCCTGGCAGTACTATATTACACTTATTAAAACAAGTCAACTCTATATTGAGCAGTCACGTCGTTATTATTAACTTGTAAGCCAAAAAAAATGCACTCACAACATTATCTACTCATAGGAGATTCAGCCCTATGGAAGGACGCTGGAAGCTGGAGCAAATATACAGCAAGCAGGATTTCATTTTCAGAATGGCACGCTAAAATGCACAGGTGCCTTATAAATTAGTGGTATGTTATTGAATTCTCCTCCGTAATGTCATCTCTTCTGCTGAGCTGCACCGTACACTAGAAATAACAGTCCTGCAGTCTGGACTGATCATAATGAACGCAAGTGGCGAGCACTCATCGGTCACATGGGCACATGACTGCACTGCCCAATGAAAAACTCTTCAGAGCCAAGGACCAGGTCTTCATAAGTAAGAAGGGCTCCTTATTGGTCGGCACACTCATGTAACCAAGCTGACCAATGAGCGTTTGCAATTTGTGACCATTATGATTCAATTCTAGTGTATCGTGTACAGATCACTGCTCCAGCTGGCAGAGGCATCACAATTTTTAAAATGTTGTGAAAAGGTGATCTTACTCTTTAAGGCCTCTTTCACATGGGTGGCAAGCTCTACCGCTCCTCTGAAAAGCACCCCACGTTCGCTTTTAAGAGGGCAGCTGAGCAGCGGCTTGCCACTGGGGTTTTCAGGTGGTCAGTGGGGCTCTCAGCAGGCCAGTGCGGGGCTCTCAGGTGGTCAGTACGGGCTCTCAGGTGGCCAGTGCAGGCTTTCAGATGGTCATTGCAGGCTTACAGGTAGTCAACGGGGATCTAAAGTGGCTAGTGCAGGCTTTCAGGTTGTCAGTGGGGCTCTTGGGTGGCCAATGGGGCTCTCAGGTGGCCAGTGGGGCTCTCATATGGCCAGTGGGGCTCTCATATGGCCAGTGCAGGCATTGTAAGTGGGGGGGGCTCTGACACTGGTACTTAGGGAGTTTTGTCTAAAGCAAGTCACAGCAGTAAATAATCAGATAAACAGAAGCAGCTTTGCTTTATTGGTGTTTTTTATTTCACGATAAGAAGGGAGGAAAGGAGAGTATTGGACAAAAAAAATGAGCTGAAGATGGATATTGAGGGACAGAAGAAAGCTCGGGGTTCCGTGGGAGCAAACTGGTCTGTAAAAGACAAATAATGACAGAGGTCAGAGGTCACTGAGATACAGAGCAGCCACCCACCCGCAGCTAATTTTTAACACACAGTCAATATTGATAGAACCAAGTCTGTCTAGATGCATCACTAGTGTGCTTGCTGTATACTTATTGGAGGTGCTGGCTTCTTTCTGAAAATACTATTATGTCTGACTGTCATTCCGATCCCCTAACTTCAATACTTTCCGAGTCGCTGACCTGGAGCAAGCATGGGTGAGAGAAGCCTTTAGATGGGGGGGCAGTGGCAGTCCGCACGTAATCGTTCATGGTCCAATTGCATGCGGTTTGGAATAGACATCTATCCTGCATCCAGGCACAATCACCTATCCCACACTGCAGGTAATCATACCATGAACGATTACATATAGACTGCCACTGACAGATTCGGCCATCTGAACCGGCACACCTGGGACTCCTGCCAAAGGAATTCATAGGTTCTTGTTGCAGGAGTCCCAGAACACGGCATAAGGCCAGGTGTGAATGGCACCTAACAAGCTGGTGTATGTGGAAGAATTGGTTATTATGGCCAGAACAGAATTTGTAGATGCTCCATGGAGCCCTGTGTGACTATGTGGTACATGCTTGTAAAATAAATAACAAACTTACCTAGACACCTTTAGGGAAACAAGTTGCTGTAAAGACAACAAGAGGTCAGAGGTCAGTTATGAAGCATATTGTAAGATCCATAGTACATGTTCTATGCCATGTGCTTCTTTTCAACGTGCACCCAAAACTGATATTTCACTTTAGCGAGGCTCTGTGAGGTATCCCTTCCATGGCTGCCAGTACTACCCTCCCCCAACTCTATTGAAAGAAAACTTCACCTTTGCTAATAGAAACGTCATTAAATATCAGCAGGGCCTATGATTTTTAAAAAGCAGCCAAAAATTCAAAGGTTGCTTCTCCTCATAGATCAAACCTAGGAGCACTCTGTAGACTTTTTGATAACACAATACCCTGGACACACCATTTTCTGCTTTTGTAACCAGCACATTGCTTTTCCCAGACGTCTGCACAGAGATGAGATCAAATTAGAGCTATCCTCTGCAGCAGGCACTTCCTATATAAACTGTATAGTTAATTTAATTGCACAGTTCAGACTAAACATATGATAACACTAAAAGCAGGACTGTTCATCTTGAACTTGTTTAGAAAGATTCCAGCAAGGGCACCGGCATAGTCTAACTAATGTTTTTAAAAAACGGCAATTTCCCACTCGCCGAGCTGCGCGCGCGAGGGGGCGTGTCTGAGCGGACGTCTAGAGACGCCCGCTCAGATCTAGAGAGCTCCGGGCTGGCCGTTTTTCTACTACGGCTGGCCCGGAGGCAGTTAAAGGGTACGTTACATGCATGGGTACACTGCAGTGCCATTCATATTGATTGGCACCCCAACGCATTGGGGGGCCATTTTGAATGTGATAGCTTGCGTCACTGCAACGTAAAAAGTCAGCCTGCACTAGTAAAGATCCATTGTAGTACATTGAGTAGCCCACTCAAATGAATAGGCTGCCTTTGCACAGCACACGCCAAAGCTGGTCAGAATGTTGGGTGCCACAAAAAAAAAATTTGGAAAGTGGGATTATCACCCTTATCACCCATGTGATTTTCAAATGAATTATATTCAAACAGGTGTCTGTGGTGACTGTTAAGTACAGGTCTCTCTGGGGCAGCTTTACTGGTTCTTTCTGCTTTGTCTTTCAGGTTGCAACCTGCCTGCTGTTGCTAGGAAGATTTACCTCGGTTGCAGGGCAGATCTTCACCCAGTTGAGCACTGGATTGGTTTTTGGCGGGAAAACAGCTAGCCAATAAGTGTAACCTTTCACCTCTATAGTCCCCCGTCACTGGGCAGGGTCAGCAGTTACCTCAGGGCCCACTGACACCATCAAGAGTGTGTTCCAGTGCCTTTGGCCTCTGGAATGCATCCTGGCAGGTTCACTTTGTTTTGAACTCAATGTCACCGCAGTCAGGCCCCCCGCCCGCAGTGCGATTAGTGCCTGCGTTCTGGTCCAGTGCAATCTGCAAAAAATAGTGCATGCATAATTTTTTGCAGATCGCACTGGACCGGAATGCATGGCACTTATGTGCTACGCGTTCGGGTTCCGGCAATCGCACCGCAGGGGCGCGGCTGCTGTGCCATTGAGTTTAATGTACTGCCACACCCCCTCCTGCCCCAAAACAAAGTGAGCCGGCCAGATTACAATCTAGAGGAAGAACGCACTATTGATGGTGTGACTGGGCCCTCTGGGCTGGCAGCTGGACTTACCCCAGGATTATCTTCAGCCTCCCTTTTGACCACCCCCGTCTATTTTCCTTTGTCACAGTCAATCTCTATGGGGTAATGTTGCCCACTTTGTGAGTGAACATTGGTTAGTAAATAGTAATGGGGTTGGTGTAAGTTATTGCTGCTTGAGTCTTAAAGACTAAACATGGTGGTCTGGTAAAGGTTATGAGAACAGTGGTTCTGTTTGATAATAAAGGTTATTTTATGATTAACACTGATTCAAACCCAATAAAGGGTTATAATATTTATTTTCCTAATTTTGTTTACACTTTTTTATTTTTTTACACTTTGTAAAAAAACAACTTTTTTTTGTCAGTTTATATCAAGCAGTCACTATCACTGCTTGATAAATTAACTTTTTACATTTTTGGCTATTATTAGGCTGCTCCAAACTTAGGTACAGTTAATAATAACCTTAGAGACTGATCCTGACAGCATGTGCCCAGACGATCAGAAGTGATACAATGTATCTCTGTGCCTGAAATGTATGTCTTGTATCTCTTTGCTTGAAATGTGGCTGTCAAAACGAATAGCAGAGAGGTGAGTCACTCTGCTACCTCTCCACTATTTTCAGCTGTCAAATACGGATTGCTATTTAGCACTCCAGTATTTGCATGTAGTGGCTTCATTCTTTCATTAATGAAAGAAAGAAGCTTTTACAAAAGCTTAACTATTTCATTAATGAATGCCTCAATACTGAGGCATTCATTAATGACTGGTAACCGCTGAGAATCAGCAGTTACCGGCATTACAGAGCCTTAAATCACTCATCACGTACAGTGTACGTGGCCAGTCATATATAGGCTCTTTGTGGCGGGGCGTACAGTGTAGTCTCCCATCATGAAGGGGTTAAAGGAGAAGTATTGGGAGAGTAAAATGTGCTCTTCCCAATATTTAAGTTGCCCATACACTGTACGATTCTTGTACGAGAATCGCGGGCAATCCCGCAATCGTACGATAATCGTACAGTGTATGGAAGGCGTGTGGCCTTTCTACTGTACGGTCGCACGTCTTCCGTCGAACAAGCAGGCTTGAAAACCCGTCGATAATCGTACGATTAGTGGCCTGCTTGTTCGACAACTGTGTGCATCGGCGCACACTGCTTGTTTGCAATGATCGGAAGCCCGCCCCTCAGCCGTGTGGGCTTTCGATGATCGCAAGTACGATCTGCCCGTCAAGATGGGCAGGTCGTACGAGCTTTCAATAAGCTTACGACCATCGCAAGACAAAAGTCTTGTGATGGTCGTAAGGTGTATGGGCACCTTTAGAACCGACATGTGACACTATAGATCGAGAGCTGAGAGATCACAATCCATGGTCTTCTCCCTGCAGAGAGTGATGATTGTCAGTCATTCCTAGCCACAGGGATTCACCCTCCCTTCTCTGTTCCTTCAGCACTCATTGGAGGGACAGACAGGGGAGGAGACGGGCTCAGCTGGCTCTGGCTCTAGAGAGGCAGAGCCAGATATCAATCAGGTTGGATCCTGACAATATTGTGGGCAGTAGCCGGCTAAATGATGACTTTGGGTCACAGGAGAACATTAGTAAATATACTCCTTTGACCCAAACGAGGCCTTAAAGCGTCATTAAACCTTTGTTACTTTTTTTCTTCTTCATGGTGGCCAGACTTGCTAAACAAAAGTTAGTTAATTTATCGTTTATTTTTATTATTTTCTTTATTTCCTCGTTCTCAAGTGGGGTCCAGACCGCAAGCCGGTGTGCAGCTGGCCCCCCTTGCAGTCATAACTTGACTGACAGCAGAAGAAGCCTATTACTCCTCTGCCCTCAGTACCCTGCAGGTAAGTGTGGTGTTTTAACCTCCACAATGGTCCTGAATATGGAAAATTAGATTCCTTTCTCTGGCTCCACCCTATGTGATTTTTAAAGACATCACATAATGATGACACAAAAGACTCCAGCGTACCCAGTAGCACAGTGAAAGGCCTGCTGATTTGGGCTCTAATGTATTATAGAATACTTGTAGTGGACTTTTTGAATTTAGCATAGTTGCAGCGTTTCCTGGATAACATCAGCAGTTATTGATCTATTTTGCTCAGTGCCTAAAGATTTCCGTGCCGTTTTGCTTCCCTGCTCAGCACAGTTAACCGGACGATCTATCCAGTATGTGGATGGGGCTCACATGCTTCAAGAGCTGCTGCAGTTTATGCCATAGTTACCTTTATCATGAAATTTTATATAGTTTTGGACCTGGAGACCCACATCCTTGAGATGATCTTCAAACTGTTTAACTCTGTCATCGGAAAGCTTGTCTTTTCTCCCTGTAAAGGAAACATTATTCATATATGAAACACTATCATCCAAGGTGCCAAAATGGTAAAGCACTGCTCTGCATGTTCGGCTAGGTCGAAGAGCAGAAGGAAGGCTCTAGCAGGTGGCGGCCAATAGGAAACTAGCTAGCTCCACCCAATTGTTTTTTTAAGTTCTTTTTTTTTTTTATTTAACTACTTTTTTTTTTTTTTAAATATTAAAAAATGTTAATGTCACTGATTTGCTATTCTGCTCAGTACGACGGAGCGACATTCGGCTAGTCACTCACTGCCATTCGGGCCCTATGTGAATAGGGGCGCACAGCAGCGAGTGAGCTGCTGGAGCTTCAGCTCAGCCGATCCACATGTTGGATCGGCTGAGTCGAAGTCCTTCTGCCGAAGGCAGCCGATGTATTGCTGAAATTAGCTGTACTGAGCCTTAGTGAATAGGTGAATGTTGTTCGGCTCACTTCACTTTGGTTGTATTATTCGGCAGCTTTGTGAATAACCCCCAAATGTCCATTACAAGAAATTCGGATCTGTCTGTATTTTGTTCAAAATGAAACTAAATCGGACATGTGACTGTTCTCTAGCCACTCAGATTTTTGGGTGTTGGGGGTTGTATTACAGGTAAGGTCATGTGACTTCATTCCAAAACGAAAATTTCCAAAAAGTCTTGTCGTCTGTGGTCCTATTGATTGAAGGTGATGAGGAGGCAAAGGCCATGTACTTCTCAATCGCTAATCAAAGAGAATTTTTTCAGGCGGGTATGCCAGACGACAAGACTCTTCTAACAAAGATTCGCAGTCAGGAATTTCCTGGAGAAGTGGCACCATCTATCCTCACTCCTCGTCGATGACCTCGCAACAATCCTTACTTAAGAGTAAGTTTCTACATTTTTTTCCTTGATCCTTTTTCCCTTGAGCGCTGTATTTTGGTACATTGTCCTTATAACTTTCCACTGCATTCCTATTGACTGTAAGAGGTACTGCATCTAATTACATGCACTGCTCCCCTAAAGGCTGTGGGTGGCACTGCACTTAATTACATGTACTACTAGCCTACTGGATGTGAGAGATACTGCACACACACTCCAAGTTCTAGACTGGCAATGCCAGAAAATGTGTTTATTTCTATATACCTGCTTACTTAGTGCTTTCTGCAACAAATTATTAAAAGTGTTGCAGCCAGTTCATTGATTTATTTGCCAGATTCAAACACTCTCATTCAGGCATGCACCAAAATTTTGGTGCAAATCTGAGGTCATCTTAAGCTGGTATTTTTCTAACAGGATTATTTACAAAAGGGTGAAGAGTTTGGAGAAGGCTGGAGAAGTGAACAATCTATGACAATATAGCTGAACTGGAAAGTGAACTGAATTGGAGAATTTTTCCAAATCAGCTATGTTGTCCTAGATTGTTCACTTCTCCTGCCTTCTCCAAACTCTTCACCCTTTTGTGAATAACCCTGTCAAATTTTCTCATTCTCCTTTCCTTTGTGCATTGGTGAAACAAGCTGACCGTCCATACACATCCCCCTCGTTACTGTTGCCCCTCCTCACTACACTACAGTACAGTATTTTCACCACTCTGGTATTGGTGTATATTGTACAGCTGTTTTTGAATTATAACATAGGTGCAAGTGCTTCTTAATTTTGGTGCACACGATCAGACATTTATAGACACTGTCTATATAGCACGTTTAACACAATTAAGTGCGGCTGGCACTACACCAGATAGAATTAGTCCTATACCATTGTTAATTTGGCTCGCAGAAAAATGCATTGATGTCCACACCACAAAACGGATGTATTTCCCTTTTTAAAAATAACAACTATTGTACTTATATATACAGCACCCATACTGACTGTAAGCAGTGATGTAACACATTAGCAGGGTGTTAGGTACCCTGAATATTGTGCCTCCCATTATCAATGTTCCCCATGACAATAATTACTGCATATGTACTTACCCCAAAGTTTAACAGTCATGCACGTGTCTGGGCCAATCTGGGTCTTCGTAAATTCCACTAAAAATGTGTCATAGTCAGTCCCAGCCATGACAACTTCATTATCCCCGTGAACTATGGTGAAAAAGAGTAGAGAGTATATTGTGTGGTCACATGAGATAAAAAGTGAACCTGTCACAAATCTGGGCAACTTAAAGACATAAAAACAGCTGTGATGGACAGCCATATGAGTCAAAAGGAGTTTGAGAACCGAGCATTCGTCTTCTACCCCAGTGGGAATATTGTGTTACTTTAAACCTGGCCATATACTTCAACTGGCTCATTCATGGGCTGAATGAGGAAAAAACACTCGATTGGAGACTCATGGGGGACCCATGCTAAATAGCATGGATGGGGCAATCTCCTCTGATGGCAATTGTATTAGTGACAACCGGAACCTGTGACTGTCAGAATACCCAAACAGCTGCAGCTGGCCAACAATTTTCCACCTGGCTCATTCGACAATAGGTGATTGAAAAATTGACTTTTGTCAAACTGGGTGGTGCCAGCAGGGCAACCCACAGACCACATTTCAGCAGATTCAGAAGGAATTGGCCAACATTTGATAAGATATGCACAGGACCGAATTTACCCACCCAGCCGCCCCAAGGCCGTGTTCGGCAATGCCCCCCTCCTCCTGCCGAGGGAATGCGGGGGCTGCAGGGTTGGTTTTAATTTTTCTATGTTTTTTTTTGTTTCTCTCCTTTTTTTAACTTTATCACTTTTTTTTGTCTCTATCACACAGGAGCTAACAAGTTACTGTGTGATAGCATTTGGAGGTGACAGGTTCTCTTTATTGAACCTGTCACCTCCAATACAGGAGTTCTAGCACAGCACTGTAACTCCTGTGACAGGTGGGAGGGGAAGAGCACAGCTCTCCCCTCTCACTGTCTACATGCAGCAGCAGGGTACTTCTAGTTCTAACCCTCCCGCTCGGCTTACAGCTCTTCATTTTGAAGGCGGCGGCATCGAGGATGGAGTCGGGAGGATACAGCATGGAGAGAGGTAAGTGCAGGGGAGGGAGGGGGGCGGCAGGGGGAAGACGGACCGGCACTCTGATTACAAGTGTTCTCGGCAACATCGCCGAGAACAGTTGGAAAGAAACAAGTAATTTCTCCTATTCTACATTTAGCCCTGCTTGTGCAAAGCAGGGCTAAATGTAGAAAGTAAATTACCGTCCGGCGCCCGGAACTCTATGTTCCGGGTGTCGGGTGATTGAAACCTGTGCCGCCCCTCTGCTCAGTGCCGCCCCGAGGCCGGGCCTCGGTGGCCTTGCCGGGAAATCGGGCCCTGGATACGCACAGGGTTGGATTAGGGGAGTGGAGATATTCCCCCATTCGAATCTCAATCAGATGTGACAACTGCTGGGTATCATAAGTACCCGCTCCCTGTTCAGACCTGCCATCACAACACCTGGCTTACAGTACTGACTACCTGTGCGGCTCTTATGGTGGCCACACACAATATGATCATACCATTGATCATTCCTTGTAACTAAACTTAATTTGAAAAAAACAAATCACATCTCAAAGACCCTTAATTTGATTGATTTAGTGAAGTTTTGATTCTGCAAAGTCAATGGGCCAAAGTAGATCGGTATCAATTGCTTCAGATCAATCAAACAGATATCTGCGTTTATGTCTGGGAACCGAACGCAATTGAGATCTGTCCTATTTTCAATTGATATTTTCAAGTGCCATCATGTGTGTTACTAAGTTAGATCATTTTTATTGATACCGAATTGCTGGTTTGCTATCGCTCGTACCTAAAGCAATAACAAATGTATAGATTTTGTCATTTACACAGTCTGTTTGAAAGGTCTTGGACTGTAATATTTTGCTTATAGTCATTAACCATAACAAATACCATAAAATAAACTCACCGGTTTTACTTTTATAGTGGCCTTCTTCCACAATTGTCATGTCGACATCCATTTGCTGACAACCATCCTTTCTGCGCAATGTGGAGAAAAAAGTTCTCATTAATTTCTAGTCCTTTTAATTGTAAAATCCAATGTCCACATTATATGTCCACAATAATTATTATTAAACAGTGCTGTAGAAACTATGGTTGATAAAGTTGTGCAATGTCCGTATTTAACCCATTTGCTGCCAAGGTGTTTATTGTACACACGTTATAATCCACATTTTAGGCCTAAAAATGACTTAAAAAGTGACATATTTCCTGAAAGCAGGGGCCCTGTAGAATAAAATGGCAGAAGTTACAAATTTTTACGCCTTATGATATTAGTGGGACTCTAGTATCTAATCCAAAATTTCTGTTAAAAAGTTAAGTTAATTTTAGTGCACAAAAACACAATATAATACCTATTTTTTGGTAAAATATAAAAGATGAGAAGCATCCTTTGCTATCTGCTGTTTATTTTTGTTGTCTAGACTGCAGCTGCTGCTGTCAGGACTACAAAAAAAAGACATAGGAACAATAGCTAGATTGTTATTGGCTATTTCAATTTCTAATAGCCAATAGCAAGCCGGCTATTGCACCTGCCCTCTGCTGCTGTCAGTCAGTAGTGGTGGACCTGTTGGAGAACTTCATGTCCACCTCTGCTGATTGACAGCAGCAGGGGGCGGGTGCAATAGCTTGTCTGCTATTGGCTATTGCAAATTGAAATAGCCAATAGCAATCTAGCTATTAGTTCGTATGCCTTTTTTTTTTTTTCTGACTGACGGCAGCAGCCATTACCGAAACCCCCCCCACCCCCAAAAAAACAGACAGTGCAGAAAGGTTTACTCTGCTAGATCGAGCAGAGTAAACCTTTCCGGGAGAAAATGTTTCTCTCCCGGGTGTCCAGGAGCCGCGATCTAATAGCGGGAGACTCTTGGAACATCCGGTAGAGTTGAGATGTCTGCAGGAGGGACAGGTGTGAGGGGGTGGCACCCTTTACCGGCCAGTGGAAGTGATCTGGTGCTCAACTGCCAGAATCACTTACAGTGTAAAGTTGACAGTCAGTCTATTTGCAGGGGCCCACATCCAGCGCCATAAGGGATATAGCACTGGCAGTGAAAGGGTTAAAGCTGACCTCCAGCCAGTTATAAAAGACACAAATGATGTAAAACATAGCGCAAACATCGGGGCATTTTGACAAGTACAAGTACTTGTCAAAATGCCCTGTTTTTACAGGGGGTGGGGGTCGGGGAGGGGGGCGCAAAAATGCACCTTGCCTACCTTGACTAAAATCCTAGCACCGGCCCTGAATGTAACAAGTGTATTTTGTGCATGCATGAAAGCATTATAAGTACCTGACTTTGACTTGGTATCAGTTGGAGAAGCAGCACAGTCAGAGCCTGGCTCTGTTGTAACCATACTCACTATAACTAAACCTCCGTTCACACTTGTTATTTTTAGAGCTTCCTGCTTGTTCTGTTTGTTGTTTGCCTGTGTAGTTGTGCTGCATTCTTGTGTCATGTCCACTATGCCATGTCTTTTGCCACTAGTTTCTGTGCTAAATACAGATACGAACATTTTAAGACCGCAGAAAAAAAAAAGCATGGTCTGTTTTAGAACAATCAAGTTTACAGATTTGGTATGCTAAACAAATACAAATAAAATTAGCTTAAAGTGACATTAAAGTCAAATTTGTTTTTCTCTCCCCCCTCCCACCCCCCATGTTAATGTTAGCACTTACCTTAAATGATGTCTTTTATTCCGATCTTCTTCTTCTTTCCCATGTTTTCATCTGTCCCTCCAGCGGTGCGGCAGCTCTCCGATCCAGTGCTGACACCTCTATGCTTGCAGGCACTTCCGATCCAGTGGTGTCTGCAGGCGGGCGCAGGCGTCCATAGACTTACCTTAGACGCCCCAAGATCCTTTGCGGCCGTACAAGCAGTTCCTGATTCTCGCCGCTGGAGTGCGCAAAGAAAAAAAGGTAAGTTTAAACCGCTGTTTTAGCGGGTTTTTTTTTTTAAACTGTTTGCCTATATCTACTGCTTGATAGCAGTAGATATAGGCAAAAAAACGGGAGGGTTTAGAACCCCTTTAAAGGAGAACTATGGGGTTAAGGCTTTTCCCCATAGTTCTCCTTAGGGTAACGGGAGGACACAAACTAGCGTCCTCAGTATACTGAGACCCTGCAGCTGAAGCGGATCCCGACAATTGTGTCTGGATCCGCCCAGCTGTGTGAGTGACAGCTGGCTCTGCCTATCTAGAGGCAGAGCCAGCTGTACCCGCCCCCTCCCCGTCCGATCCGCCAGACAGCGCTGGCGGATCGGAGCAGGGAGGGGGGAATCCAGCCCCTCCCCTGTCACGGCAGAGGGCTGTGACAGGATCGAGAGGTGAGCGAACGCCGGTATGTGTTTGCTCACCTCCCGATCTACTGAGCCGACCTGTGACAGTCTCATTGTCACAGGTCGGCTAGAACTATGAGGTGAGTGAAAAGCACTCACCTCATAGCTCTCCTTCAATGTTGTTTCCTAAAAGGAGAAGGAAACGCCCCAATCATAAAACAGGTCAAGGGCAATTTCTTCCCATACCAGTTGATTCTTGCAGTGATCTTTATATTGCTAGTGCGTGGGATCAAACAGCAACAGCCTTACCATGACCAAGCGGATGAAGACATCCATCATACTGCAGCCTTCTCTCTCCATCTACTTTGTAGCCTGTATAAAGTAGAAGTTGCTAGGGAAGGAGCCCTGTTGTTATGCCAAAAAAAAAAACCCAAACACACATGTACATGTGGTTTTGCTGCAAATCTGTTGAGGTTCATGGCACCAAGAACACACTTTGTTGCCCCCAAAAAAGCACATGCAGCATTTCCAAAATCACGCAACAGCAAATCGCATGGATGTGAACTGGTTACCACAGGAAATGATGGGATTCCTCATGTTGAGTACTGACTCACAATGCATAAATGTGAATGGGGCCTAAATGATATCATTCTAAGCCATGCCCACTCTAAATAAGCTATACTTTCCATCACACCACCAAAAATATGTGTTTTCCATGGACCAAAAGGTAGCATCTCTAATACTTCACCACAGAATATCATTTTTTATTGACAGTCCACCTTGTAGCTTTATGGTAATGGATACTTACGTCTGAAAGGCCATTGTGCACTTCATGTGGTCCTTGTTCAGTGAAAAGATAATAACGGGAGACGGCATATGCTCTTTTTTCATTTGCATGAAGGCTTTGCAGTTGGATGCTGCGGCAATTCCAAACCAAGTACCTAAGATCTGCAAAAACACAGAGCAATAAAAAAAAGTAGACCATGAAACCAAACTGATTCTTTTTTTAAAATACATTTTATTTATGTTTTAGCATGCCTCCCAACTGTCCTTCATTTGGAAGCAAATGCCCCTGTCCCTCTTTCCTCCTCAGATGTCACTCCCAGGATAATTTTAATGCGGGGCAAAAGGGGCAGGTGCCCTGGGCCCAGTCATTATAGTGGGACCCAAAGCAGCTGTCCCTTGAGCCCACAAAAGATACACAAGTGGCACCTAGGGTTGCCAACTGTCCGGAATTCACCGGTTTTGAATGCTGTGTCCGAGTTTCATGGCATCTGAAATCCAGACATAAAATGCCAGACAGACCATTCTGTTTACTATGTGATTGTATAGTGTTGCTCCACCCCGCCATATGGTGTTTAGCATGGTAGGTAGGGTCGGAGGGCCAAGAAAATGTTTGCCTGGGGTCCAATCAATATTAAAGACGGCCCTGGTCCCTCCTTTTGGTCTGATGTACAGATACCTATGAAAAGGTTCTGTTTACCAAAAGTGTTATTCTGTACTAAAACCTTCATCTTATCTCTTTATTATCTTGTTTGCTCTTTTGAAAAGCCATGATACAAAAAAAAAGGGTGAAAAACAACAATTTGGGGTTTCACCATTCATTTTTGGCATATTCATTTTCGATGGTCCGCATAACTGGAAGTGTGGAAGGAGTGTGTCTATTGCCTAAATACATTGTACTGAAAGGTGTCCCTCTTTCTCATCTCAGAAAGTTGGGAGGTATTCTTTAGTATATATTCACAAAGTTTCAAATGTAACAAACAACGCAGTTAACAGTTATAATACAAAAACCATAAGGGGTGGAGATTCATATTCAGTTATACACACTCAAGTTAAATAAAATAACATTTTCTTTCTTATATTGTCAGTCTAGTCATTAGTTATAAAAGAATGCCATGAACCATAGATGCCACACTAATTTTAACTGTGGGCTGCCCAAAAGAAATGGAACACATTCCTCTATCTTCCCTAAATAGTGTGGATGGACAAATCTCCCCTTTTGGGCTATTGTATTCTGACAGCCAGGGCCTGCTGTGGCTCCGGCTGATTGGCTGTAGTAACTGTTTGACCAACAATTTTCCGCTGAGCAGTGTATAGCCAGGAGCTTTATCTCATGTGCAGCTGTTTACATTTAGGAAGCCCAACTCCAAAATTCAGTTCCCTAACAAATGTAGGATACAAATATGAGGTTTTCACTGCAATACTTACCGTACCTTCTCCCCAGTGCTGTTCAGCAGACAGTCCTCTCTTTGTCCAGCAGAGGGCCGCTCCTCTGGAATGAATGACACCCAGTCATTCAACCACTTCCTTTGAGCCAGACTGTTATGGACACACCCCTGGGGTGCAGGATCACACAGTCTGGGCTCACAGCATACTGCTGCAAAGGACTGCGCTCCCATATCACAATGTAAAAGCCACTCTGCAGCACTGAGGACCACACACTGTTGACACAGGAGAAGATACCCCACTGGATTTCTCCTGGATGCAAGCTATATGTAAACTCTAACAATCAACTTCTACTATTTGCCCCTTATTTTTGGTCTGCTAAATATACCAATGAATGAATGTTGTCATATATATATTCAATAAATGCAACAAATACCTGTTGATTCTTCCTGAAATCCAGTGCTGTCCTGTTCACTATGCAGTTTTATCTCACACAGTAAGGCCTTGTTCACACCAAATGCCGAGCAGATCCGGTCAGGTTTCTGCACACGCACGCTAGTCTTTTTTTTTTTTTTTTTAGTTTAACATGGGCTTTCAGTGCATTACAGGCATTTGCATGCGTTTTTGATGCGCTTTTGATGTGTTTGCAGATCCAGAGCAGATGCAGAGCAGGTAACATAGGGCCTGCTGCATTTTTTTTACCTGCTCTGGATCTGCACGCTGCGATGTGAACTGGAGCTCAAAATACCATTGGAATACATTGGACGCAGTTTTGATCCAATCGGCACCTGCTCTGGATCTGCGCCGCGCTTGCTGTGAACTAGCCCTAATATTAGTCCAACTTACCTCTGTGAACTACAAAACACCTCATACCTAAGTTATGGAGGGTGGCCTGGAGTACTTAAACACTTCCTACCCTAGGGTGACAATGTTTGCTCCTCCAAAGAATCAGTACAGTGAATGAGTGTTGTCCCCCAGGATACGAAATGTGTGTAAATGGCAGGAAGATAATTAGGTGAAAGCAAAGGTAAGTGATTAAACAAAGAAAACTAAATGCAGCCACCACATCTAAGAGCAGGCAAGCTGAAACATATTACAATTTTGGTCTTGGATTTACATACCCTCTAAGGTATGCATGTATGTATGTAGAAATTTGGGATGGGGTCCACAGGAAGGCAGAAGCTTTGGGGTGTGTGTTTGAGCCGAATGATGGAGTTGGGCTTTAACATTGTTTATATAGACCTGAAGTGCCCAAGCCTTTCCAGTGCCAAAACATTGCCTTCCTGTCATAGAACAGCCATAAAACCAGTAGAGGTCTGGAGTGTGTATTTTGTGGATGGTTGTTTACTGTGGCAAGGAGAAAAACCTCTGGAGTATAGAACAGCATTTTTTAGCCTTTTTTCAGTTGTGGCACCCTTTAAAAGTATGCAAAATCTCAAGGCACCCCAGTCTAAACTGTCAAAAATGGAAATGTAAAAAAGGATGTGTGGCCCCTTCAAAATCCATACCAGAACCTTATCCACGACAGGGATCTGGTATGGATTTTAAGGGGGGACCCCACACAAAAACAGTGATCCCCTTCTTCAAATCAGAGCCCCTCTTTACATCAGAGCCTCCCTTTGACATCAGAATCCCCACTTTCACATCAGAATCCCCACTAGAACCCCCCTTTCATACCACAGTCCCCACTTTCACATGAAGAGCCCCCTTCACATCTTGCACATTCACAATGGAAAGGCATGACGATGAACGGAAACTTCAAGACACCTCTGAAGAAGCCAGTAGGCACCCTGGTTGAGAAAGCTGGTGTAGACAATAGTACAAGTTGCAACATTGGTAAAACGCATTCTATAGCTTAGTATTTGCAGGCATAGGATAGAAGCATGTAAGTATATATTTGCCATGTCGCAGGTACACCTGAAACATTTTGCAGGATCTGTTAGGTAGGTTTCATGTAACTTGTATGCTGTATAACACAGTTGATGAATTCAATAGAAATGTACTGATTCCTGATAACTGATTTTTTACACCAGCACAGATGATACGATCTTGCATAGTGAAGCATAGTGACATTTCAGCCAATGATATTGGACATTCAGGTGACATTAACTTGTCTGCTCTTTTCTCCTATCAGCATGCTCCTTGTACTGCAGCACAACTGATTGGCTGCTTCTCCCTCTCTCTGTCTGACCTTTGCTGTAAGAGGACTGCAAGAGGCTGATACATAGTCAAATTCGGGTACTTACTCTGCTTGCATTTACAAAAATACATTTCACAATGTATTAATACAGAGCTGCAATGATGTGTGACTTTTATATCTGTCTACATGGAGTTCAGCTTTCATTTTTGATATGTCTTCCTGGAGTGCAGCTCCTTTGCAGGTATGTATAGAGATGTGTGTGTTTAGCGTAAAAAAATTAGATGTCTTTCCCTTACCTTGTTCTGGTCAAAATCTTTCTGTACCGGTGGCATATCAGCCTGGCACTGTAGAAAGAAGAGTACCACAATGGCTGCAATTTGGATCATGTTTGGTATTGTGCTGAGCAATTACTGTAATGTGATGGATTCTTCTTTTCTATATTTATACACCCCTCCATATCAGGAAGGCGACAGTGCAAATAAGAGCCCATTGTTTGATAAGTGTATTATATAAACGGAAACCAGGCTTCTTATAACAAAGTGGTTGCCAAAATTGTAGAAAATCTTCCAGGATATTCAGTGCAAAGTAGAATTTTTACAAGCACATTCCAGTATCATTTTCACAATAAAATCAGTGATTAGGGTAAAGCTTTAACTATCCCTTAGGTTAGTAATGGTCCCTGTTGGAGCTAGTTCACACCAGCCCCAGTGCGGTCTGGCCCGAATCGGTGCCGGTACGCACTGAATCGCATCCCGGCCGCCTCACTGCTTACTGGGGCGGGAGGGGGCGTGACGCTGCAATGAAGTCAATGCCTGCTTTCTGGTTCGGTAAAAAAAAATTGTGCATGCAGCATTTTTTCTGACCGGACCGGAACACAGGCATTGATGTGCCACGCGTTCCAGGGGCAGGCAATCACACAGCGGCCGGGGGGAGTGGCTGTGGTGCCATTGACTTCAATGCACCACCATGCCCCCTCCCGTCCCCAGAACGCACCGAATCGGGCCGGAATGCACTGGGGCTGGTGTGAACTAGCCCTTATTGTGGTGCAAGTTATTGGTTATAGATGAATCTTTACAGCTGTAGTCAGATTTTAATGAAGCACAACTCCAGCCAAACCCACTTTTTTTTGTTTTTGACATAGTGGGGAGGGGTTAGAATATCTGTTGGGTTTCTATATCCATTGGGAAGATTTTTCCCTCACTTCCCATCTGGATGGCCACACAGGAAGTGTGGGGAAAAAATCTTCGAAATGAAATCGAAACGGCTATAACTTGACAGAGGTTTTACCCTTCCCACTGTTGGAAATGCAACAGCATATACCGATTGTATTACTGACTGTAATTTGTCATTTGAGCTGTAGATGGCGCTGTAGTGCAATGTTAGTCTCTATGTGCATGCTTATCTATGATACACCGGAAGTTTTTTTTTTTCTTTTTAAATAAACATACACATAATGTCTTTATAAGCACGTAAAACTTAATTCAGCATTGCTCAAAATCTCAGTGCTTCATCTAAAAAAACACAAAACCAACAGGTTATGGGCCCAGGCACGAAACAGAACACTGCAAGTCAACAAGAGCCGCATCCAAGCTACTGAAAGATGGAAAGCAGTTCAGATATGAAGTTTGCAATTGCAAAGTTCAACAATAGCAACTACCAGCTATGGAAGTTCAAGCTTGAAATGCTGCTAAGCAAAGACGACTTGTGGCAAGTACTGAGTACAGACAGACCCAGTAATGGACCCAAGAAGGAATGGGACAAGAAGAACAGACAAGCAAAAGCAATTATAAGTCTGCTAGTGGAAGATGACCATCATCATCATCCACATGAGAAAAGAGAATACAGCTAAAGGTATGTGGACTGCATTACAAAAACTGCATGAGCGTTTAAACCTAAACAGTAAACTATATCTGCTATGCAAGGTATAAAAGATGAGGATAGAAAAAAGCCAGGAAATGCGTGAACATGTGAATGCCATGCTGGAAATCATAGAACACCTACGTGCAATTGGAGAGGAAATTAAAGATAACCATGTGATGCCATTACTACTATGCAACCATCCATTGTAATACAATGCTCCTATTAACGCTCTAGAAACCCCACCTGAGCAGGAACAAATACTAGAATACGCCAAAGGAAAAGAAAATATGCACAATGAAGAAAACGAGAAATCCCTTAAGGTGCATGGGAGCACAAAGCAAAACAAAGAAAGCAGAGCGTGTTTTCGCTGTCAAAAGACTGATCACTTGAAAAAGGACTGTTTAATCTGGAAAGCCGAGCAGAGAAAGCGAGAGGCACCTACAAGAGAAAGAGCTAAGGCAGCCAAAAATGAAAATGCAGGCACATCATGGAGCGCTACCTTTAAAGCGACTCAGAACAGTATACCACGCAGATGGTGTATTGACTCAGGTGCAACAAGTCACACGACTTGTGATGAGACCTTTTTCACAGAAATTGATTTCAATACAAATAACAAAGTTTTCCTAGCAAATAGGAAAATTATTACTGCACAAGGTAACGGCCAACGATTCTCAAACTGCATCACACCATCAGGGGACAAGCAGAGTATCCTCGTGAAAAATGTACTGTATGGACCGGAGCTGCGGGACCGGGACGTGGAGCCGGGCAGACGGACGGAGCAAGTGACGGACCGAGCCGGTGGCGGACGGAAGAAAGAAAGAAAGAAAGAAAGGACGGAGAGCGGCAGGACCAGAGGACGGGGAGCCGGACGGAGGACCGGTGGCAGGGACGTTTGGACGGAGGGACTGGTCGGCCAATCAGGAGCAGTGACAGACGAGTTCGAGGAGCAAAAGAAGAGGGAACGGAGGCTGTGACCAAAGGCAGGATCTTCTGGACAAGACGTGACTGGCATCAGGAGCAGGTCGTATGAAAGAGATTGGGGAGAGGGGGCTGTAAAGTGTTCCTTAAGATTTGTACTGCTGTAGAGGGGTAAAAGTGTATAGGAGGAGGGTGTGACATAGTGGGTGAAATCAAATGGGAAAACTTATTTGATAAACTAAACTTTGACCAAAAGTGGGACTGTTTCAAGAACAAATAAAAAAATGCTATTACCATGTGTATACCGCTGGGTAACAAAAGTAAAAGATCAAAAACAAAGCCAATATGGCTAAATAGAACGGTAACACATTAAGGAAAAAAAAGTAACATTTAGTAAGTATAAAATGGAGGGGACAGTATTGGCATTCCAAAACTACAAAGAATGTAACAAAAGATGTAAACTGGTACTCCGGGCGGCTAAAATTGATTGTGAGAAATATATAGCCAAAGTTAGTAAAAAGAACCCAAAATTTTTTATCAGTACATAAACAGTAAAAAGGGGAGAAAGGAACAGATAGGCTCAATAAAGGACATAAATGGGTCGTTACTTACAAACGACAGGGAGAGGACCGAGGCGCTAAATACTTTCTTCTCGTCGGTATTCACAGAGGAAACAGATGGGTTTAATGTACATGAAAAAACACAAAATTTAACAAGAAATACACCTGAGTGGTTGACTGAAACTGTGATACAACATAGGCTTAAACTACTAAATGCAAATAAAGCATTAGGACCCGATAATCTACATCCCAAGGTACTCAACAAGGAGATAACAAGATCATTGTTGCTCATTTTTAAGGAATCCGTAATGGCTGGTAGAGTGCCAAGCGACTGGCGAAGGGCTAATGTGGTACCTATATTCAAAAAAGGGTAAAAATGTCAACCGGGGAACTATAGACCAGTTAGTCTGATATGCGTAGTATGTAAAGGATCAGGGCATATTAACTGATATGCCGCACGGATTTAAGAAGGATCGTTCCTGCCAGACCAACCTGCTGACCTTTTACGAAGAGGTAAGTAAAGATCTGGATGGAGGGAGGCCGGTGGACGTAGTATATCTGGACTTTTCCAAAGCATTTGATACGGTGCCACATAAATGCTTGTTATACAAGTTAAGGGCTATGGGCATAGATGAATTAAGTGTGCACGTGGATAGAAAACTGGCTACAAGAACGTGCACAAAGAGTATCAGTTAATGGCACCTTTTCAGAATGGGCTGAAGTGCCCCAGGGTTCTGTGCTGGGTCCCATGCTTTTTAACCTATTTATTAATGATATCGGGGAGGGAGTGAGCAGCCATGTCTCAGTGTTTGCTGATGATACGAAAATTGGGAGGGTAGTAGACACAGATTTAGACATTTATACAGGAGGACCTGGATAAACTCTGGGAGTGGGCAACTGAATGGCAGATGAAGTTCAATGTCGATAAATGTAAGGTAATGCACCATGGAGTTAAAAATAGGCAAATGGACTATACACTTATGGGAGTGCCACTAGGGAAGTCGGAAACGGAGAAGGATTTGGGGGTCATTATAGACCGCAGATTGAAGAACAGCTCGCAGACAGAGTCCTGTCTTGCATTAAGAAGGGAATGTATTGCAGGGACAAGTCTATAATTTTGCCACTTTATAGATCACTGGTTAGGCCACATCTGGAGTATGCGGTCCAGTTTTGGTCACCAATATTCAGAAAGGATGTCCTTGAGCTGGAAAAAGTCCAGAGGAGGGCAACCAAACGTATTAAGGAGTTCGAGGACCTGAACTATAAAAAAAGGCTGTTAAAATTAAATATGTTCTCTTTGGAGGTTAGGAGATTAAGGGGGGACATGATCTTCTTGTATAAACTATTCAAGGGTGACAACGACATTATTAACAAACTGTTTACGGTTAGCACTGTAACAAAGACCAGAGGGCACAACCACAAATTGGTGGAAAAAAAATGTCAACACACAGGGCGCAAGGGGTTCTTCACACTTAGAGCGGTTAAGGTCTGGAACTCGCTGCCGCAGGAAGTGATCTCAGCTAAGAGTGTGGAATCATTCAAGAAACTCCTGGACGAGTTCCTCGGAGACCATAATATACAGGGGTACAGGTATTGCTAAGAGAAAAATCACACATGCACTCATACACACGCACATACCAGCTCAAACATAAATGCATACACACAATAGGTTGGACTTGATGGACTTATGTCTTTATTCAACCTCAAATACTATATAACTATGTAACAAATAGGTTCAATCAAGGTGATGAATGTACAATTCGAAACAATAAGCAAATCCTCGAAAAAGGAAAATTGGATGAACACCTGTACACACTCATCTCCGCAGACGAACAAGTCAAGACAGCCACTGATAATCCACACAGCAAATGTATTCATCTGTGGCACAGACGACTAGGGCAGAAGCCAAAAAGGATATTATAAAGAGAGGCTTTTCAGAAGATATAACCGTACTGCCCTGACGAATGCTAATGACATGCAAATTCTGTATGGAAGCAAAGGCCACACGTACCCCACTTCCACAGGCACTGCAAAGAAAGACCACCCACCCCATGGAGCT